CATCTGGAGAAACAAATACACACCATGGAATTAAGAACCCTGCAGTGGTTTTGTGCTTTGATACTTAAAATTAGGAGTCATGTAACTTTGCAAGCTAAGGATTAACTCAGTCCAATGTCAGACCAAATAGTGCAAATACAGAAAAATTTAACTTATGTTGATCAAACTTTACACACAAGAATGTGACACTGCTAAGTACAGAAGCAGGTAAAATTCAATCTAATAAAAAGCAACAGTCTCTGAGAATGGTTAAACAAATTTTAAATTCATATGTATTTGGGTTCAAAATGAACATCAGAAACATTTCAGAAATGTCAGTGATCCCCCAGCTTTTAATTCCACAGCAAAAGAAGCAGTTGCTTATAACATTAAATGCACACAGTAAACACTGAATGCTTCTGTTTCACAAGTACGACATTCTTCATTGCTTAATTCTCACTCAAGTTGTACAATGTCTGTTCTGTTGTCAAGAGACCATTCTCTTACTCATGTATACAAAAAGTGGTTAGAGAGGGACAATTGTGACCTTTAAGTGCTCCCAAATGCTCCATAACATACTCATATAAAAATACTTAGCAACTTGCCCAATTCCACTGTAATTTTTCATTAAAAAAGTATTACCAGTTTTCCAAGCCCTAGATAATTTTTATATAAACCTTTTCCATTTTCAGTTTTATCTTCTGTAAGTAAAAGTATTCCTCAAGAGATTAATCAATAGATCCTCAAAATACTTAATTTCTAGTAACAATTTAGGTTTCTGTTTTATGGTTAAAAATAAGTATTTCTGAAAATCAAACAGCATAAATTATTATAAAAGGTAATACCTAACACCCTCAAAGAACAACTCTCAGTCACTTCTATCTGTGTCTAACCATATTTTCAAGCTGATGACTTTCAAGACACGTCTCAACAAGTCTAAGATACTCTTCTCAACAAAATTCAGGAAGGGTTTTTCTAAACTAAGTTTTGCCATTGGTCTCACTGATACATTGTATAAATCTCCTAATTTGCATAAGGGATTTAAACACAAAGTCACTCTGGTTTTAGGGATTTACCTTCAACTCTCCCCATGAAAGGCTGCCCAAATTTGACCATGCTACAAGCCTGAAGAGAACTGCAAAAAGAACTTTCTCAACAAAGAAGGAAAAGAGATGGAGAGATCCAGTATCAAGAATCAGAACACACAGAATGAAGCAGTGCAGAAAAGTGACAAGAAGGAAGAGGCATGAGCTGTAACTGAATTCACAGCAAGTCATTTACTCGTTACAAACCTCAGTTACTGAAGCCTTGTGTGATGTGAATTCAAATGAGACTGGCATTTGGGAAGTGGTATTTATACTGTTGAGTTTAGACTAGCACAACAGTGACCATATCCAGCATCCTTTAATTGCTGCTTAAAGTGAGGTTTGGTGATGGTTATAATGTAAGGACACGTGTAGGAATTCATTAAGTGTTCCAAAGGAAGTTTTGATATATTTAGATTGTGTAGAGGTGGTACAAAACTGCCAAATTCTGAGAATATAGTAACAATGATGCTCTGACATTTTGTAGTCTTATAAATGTCATATATCTACAAGCCAGCTAAATACAGATGACTTTAGTAATTTGTTTATTTTGCTGGAATATTCTTCTCCATTTTAAAAATGGTAGTTACACGAGTACTCCTCCCCAAAAAACTCTTACTATTTTAAATACAGAAACAATTCCCAGAGTTTCTCCAAAATCTTGAAATTTTGGAAACCCTATTCCACCAATATCTAGTTTGCAAAACCCACATTTCAAGAGGCACAAAACTGTGGCATTAAAAAGAAGTTCCCTTAGAAACTTAAAAAACCCCAACCAACCAACCAAAACAACACCAAAAAAACCCCCAAACCCCAAACAATAGTGGCCTTAAGTTTATGTTACTGTCCTAACTTCCTCTTAAGCACTTAGCAATCCCTTCTGAGCTCCATCCTGTGTTCTGTAAATCTTATCTTTACAAAGAAAGCTTATTTGTAGTAATTTGGAATGTTTTAAGAGCTCCAATCCATTTATTTTCAAAAGTGATGTAGGTATCCAATGCAGCTGAACTTGGAAAAAAAATTGTCCCCACCTAAAAACTTCTGTCAAACACAACAGCATTTTACCTGGGTAAGTGCAGTTACTCTGTTCTCACTAGGAAACAGTGGCGGATCTTCTCCAACTTGGAAATCAAAGTACACAGTTTTGTGTGTGAAAGTAGAGAACTCATTGCTGAAGCAGAATTTGTATGTTCCATTTCTGGATGCAGTAAATGTGAAGCTATCATATTGTTTCTTCATCTCTTTGTACAATACAACACCATCAGGATCTTCCAGCCGACAGTCAACATCGTAATGACCTCCAGTGATCACCTGAGAACACAAACCAAGATATGGTCTCTTTAGCAAAATGGATATTTATGCATTTCTTCTAAGAAGTATCATCTGTCAAGTGGCACTGCAAAGCTTTTTGCTTTGACAAGTGCTTTACCAATATAATGCATTAATCTGAAAAACTTTCAAAGCAAGTCTGCAAAATTATTTTCCTATGGAAGACACACAGAAGATAATAAAAAATGCTTTAGGTTCAGCATATGTAATGTCAACTGTATTTTCAAACCCTTTGGAAAGCAGTTTTAGTTACTTTGTTATAAATAACTCAACAACAGCAAAGACTACAGTAGATGAAGCTCAATGGGACTGCAAAGACATTACTGTAACAAGTCAATCATTTGCTGTATAAACAAGTCGTCCATGGAATCAGTTCATCTGTCTGAGACTGCTAACATGCAGTAAGACATTTCCTTTCAGTGTGGCCAGAAGAGTATCTGCCCAACTGTATCAGCTGCCTTAAACTGCAGGGATGGTGTTCAACCAGTAAAACATGAATTTCAATCTGTCCAGTCTTCCTGCCTGCTCCTCAACACAGAAATGTTCTGGGGGTCCTGCTGCCTCCTTCCCGCACAGTTGGACACAGCAGTGCTTCCAAAAACCAGCACATCCAGATAATGCCTCCAAGTGACTCAAAACTTCATGGTTGCAAGGGTTTGTTTGAGGCTTTGATTATTGTTGGTGTACAGAGTATTGCTACCTGGATTCTACAGAAAGACTGTAGGGAGTTTAGGTATTCACAACTTGGTGTTCTGATGACTCTTACAGTAGCAGTTTTACACTTTATCCTTGCCACAAATTTTTACCTTTATGATAAAGCATACTGAAAGAGGAAGAGACATATCTAAAGGCATATTCATTTTATGTGCGCAGAAATCACTGAAATATTTTAGTATCTGTGTATATGCACTTCACTCCACTCCACTGAGCACTGTTTAAACTCTCATCAGTTTACTGAGTTACCAAGTTATTAAAATAATGACTTTAATGATACAATTGAAACAACAAACTGGAGCAGCAGCTCCTCCACAAAAATGAAGTTCTGAAAGTATCCAGTTGGCAAGCAGTAACATAGCTCTTCATTTCAGAAATACAATCTCCAACTTGACTAGGGTGTGCTTTTTACCAATTACATGAAAGTCACTTGCATTCAGCTAGATCACCCTGAAAGTGTCAGTTTACATCGAGGTGGTAAAGACTGGCCAGAGCTTTGAAGTTGCCCTAGGATTCCTTCCCACAGAGCTTGCCTGTGCCTCCTGTCGGCCCTTAAGACACACTGTCAAAGGACATTCACACAGCACTTTAGTCTACCAGTGGCTGGTCAAATCCAGACTTTTCTTTTATCAATGCTACTCCTATTCTGGGCACCAAAAAAAATGGCAAGAGCAGGCTGATCTGCACAGTGATATCCAATTCAAAACTGCAGGGAAAGTACTGCACATAAAAGACTCCATGGAAGAAACAAGCAGGGACAAGAAGCACTTGGGCAGGGAAAAAGATACCCAGGAGCTAGAACACATAAGACAGAGTAACAAGAACCAATATATGGCAGCAACTGAGAAAGAAAAAAACCGCAGAACTTCAACAAGAACAGTCAGCCTATAGAATCACACAGCCCCTTCAAAACCCCTCAAAGGTAACTGTGATTTCTGTCATCAAGGACTATTTTTCTCTCATGCTGCTGCTTTACTGTTAGTGACTTCATCAGCTAAAGTGCCAGACTGAAAGGCTCCAACCCCGCAGATACACTTACAGGCATCAAAACAGTGATGCTGTACCGCATCCTTGTCCCATCACCCTTCTACTGTTTACTACGTAACCCCAATCTGAACTGTGCTCTGAAATACGAAGCATCAGCTCTTAAGATGTACTGTGCTGATTCCGTCGGTGCTTCGTAAACCACAAGGGAATTACTTTCGCAGCACCTTATGGGTCAGGTGTGCTTTAGGTATTCTCCGCGCTGTTGGGGCGGGACACGACACGGCAGCGACCAGGGCAAAGACACCGCCAGTTTTCAGAGCCAGCTCTGCGTGTCCCACTCAGCCCTGCACTACACTGAAGCCTCCTCGCCGCAACTGAGCTGGAAACTCCTCACTGGATCCAAATAATCCCTAAATGCCGGAGCCGAGTGGGAGCTCCCGGCAGCGGCCCTGCTCGGGGCCGCGCCCAGCGGGGCCAGCGCGGCGCCCGCGGCGGCGCCTCCCGGCCGGGTACCTGGAACTCGAGGGTGCACTTGGTGCCCTGGGCGATCTCCTCGTAGAAGCACTGCTTGGCGTTGTCGGGCAGCTCGAAGGTGATCTCGGAGGCCTGCGCCACGCAGGCCGCCAGCGCCGCCACCAGCAGCAAGGGCGGGAGCGGCCCCCGGGAGCCCCGCGGCGGCATCGCCTGGCGAAGGGGGACGCGAGGGGGGCGCGGAGGGGCGAGGGGGCTGCGGGGGCGGCTGGGGCTGCGGGGCTGCGGGCGGGACGCGGCGTGGCCGAGGGGCCCAGCCGGGACGCGCAGCTGCCACCCGGAAGCGCCCGCGCGGCCGCGCCGCCTTCACGGAGCGGTTCCGGGATGTGCGGACGTGTGTCCGGCGGGAAAGGGGCGGGAAAGGGGTGGGAAAGGAGGCCGGCACGGTTCTGACGTGTCGCAGCTGGTTGCTTGGTGCCTGTGCCGCGCGGATGCCCGCGGGTTAAGTTTTTCCGAGGGTCCCACCTGGAGCGACCTAAAGCTGGGAATCGTGGGCTCCGAGCGGCGGCGAAAAGCGGCCTCGGTGCCCTCCGAGAAGCGGAGTATACAGAGGGAGGGATTTGGAGAGTTCTGCTTCGCAGATCCTGAAACGTTCAGTGCTCCAGAGAGATAAAGCAGCCCTCAAAGTGCACACGCTGTCTTCAGCAGTATCGGCTTTCAAGTTCTAATCCAGTAAATAGAATCATAGAATAATAGAATGTTAAGGCATTGGAAAGAATCTTAAAGATCATCTAGTCTCAACGCCCCCTGCCATGGGCAGAGACACTTCCCACTAGGCAAGGTTTCTCAAGGCCTTGTCCAACCTGGCCTTGAACACTGCCAGGGTTGGGGTATCCGCAACCTCCTGGGCATCCTGTTCCAGTGTCTCACCACCTCACAGTAAAAAATTTCTTCCTAATATCTAAACTAAATTTCCCCTCTTTCAATTTGTACCCTTTATAACTTGTACTGTCACTACAATTCCTGATGCATAGTCCCTCTCCAGCTTCCCTGTAAGCCCCCTTCAGATGCTGGAAGGTTTCCACACAACCTTCACTTTTCCAGACTGGACAGCCTCAACTTTCTCAGCCTTTCCCAGTTTACAGATTCACAGGAATAACACAAAAATAACCCCCATTCTTTTTATATTAATGTTAAGTTCTGTGGCAAATGAGATGGACTAGGAAAAAGAAAATTTGGGTCCAATCTCCCAGGCAGGAGCATGAGCTTGTAATCTGGAGTAGATCTGGAGTCCCATTTTGCTCCCCTGGAAAAGGAGTCTTATGTAAGCTTGTTAAACCTGTGATTTTCACCCTCAGCACTGCATAAGGAACCTGGGCATCAGTTTGAGGACTGTGGATTTCACAGGACAGAGGTACCCAAAATTCACATGTTGAGGACTTGGATAGATATGCAGGTGTGGATTAAAGCAAGATGGGAGATGCTTTACCAAGGACCCACCCCACCTCTGAAGCAGAGATTTTCCATCTACAGTTAATCCTCAGATGTTTGCTGCTTTCATTTAAACACAGTTTTATTTTAGATTGCGTTTAAGTGTTGGCTGATAGCTGACACAGCTCAAAAGCAGATTATATCTAGGCCATATGATGCAGTTCCAGCCATTTTACTTAAATCAGCGACTACAGGCTCATAGAACCTGTGTCACCTAATCACCTTCTTCATATGGCAAGAAATATGTTTCAGGAAGACTCGCTCTGTGATTTTTGACAGCAACTGAAACAATCCTGTACAGCTCACAGTTTCGTAGTTCATTCTTTCCAGCTATTTTAAAGCCTCATTAAATGAGCAAAATGAAGCTTACCTAAGAAATTACAATTGGAAACCTGTCACCAAACAAAAAACAGAAGGAGAAAGATGCAGAGCAGGCAAGAAAGGTGTCTGGTGACACCTGTAAAATAAGCAAAAACCCAGACATCCCAACTCCCAAAATAAGTCAGCAAGAACAAATGAGATCACTTCCTTTTCTTTTGGGCTGGGCTCAGAGAGTATAAAACATAAACTGAGTAAAGAAAGTAACTGCCTGCAAGAAGCTCTAGAGCCTGGTTATCCTTATCCTGGTGACCAAGGACCACCAAGGATGGAGCCGTCAGCACTCACTGCATGGCATCAACTCCACTGCATTGTGTACTTGCAGCTCATCTGGGATAGATTTTTTAAGGACTAATGGTTTTGTATATGTAGTGATCATGATAGTAATTGAGAACTAGCTATTAGCAACCTGAACTGCTTATGAACTTCAGTACTTCTTTCGCAGCTTGAAACTGGCTTGATTTATTTATTCCTTGCACACCCTAGTCACAGCAATACCCAATTCCCTAAACAGTACATGGAGCTGTATTTTAGTTTGAAACACTAAAGAGCCGAGCTTTTCTGTTTTAGAAGATCACATATGCCTTTGTACTTGTAGATTTCATTACAGTTTTCATTGAGTTAGCTGATTAATAATTTCTAATCCTTACAAGGAATTAAAAAAAAAAAAGGATTAGGTTGCTGGTTCTGCTGTTGCTGTTCCCAGATTCTTCCCAGTTTTCATTGTTCTGTCTCCATGTATAACCATTCTGTTTGTGAAATTAAAAAAAAATCACGTTTTCTTTATTGTCTTACTGCACAAATAATATTTTAATATTAAACCCAAAATAAGTTCAATAAATATATTTTAGAGGGAGTCATATGAAGAGTTTTTCTTTCCAACTGGACTATCTGTTTAACTATGCTCTGTTTCCCATGCTCTCAGTGTGGTTCTTGCCTGAGAAAAACCTTTATGATATTTTTCTCTATTATGGCAGAATATTTGCAAGTAGAATTCTATATTCCAACTTTCCCAAAACTTGCATGCAGAGATATATTTTATTAATGATCTTTTTTACCTTAAGTGTAAAGTTAAAACATAGTTCTCAGTCAAAGACTAGAAGAAAACAAACATTCGTTTTATTGTTTCATTTTTTCAGAAACAGGTGGAAGCAACTGCAGAAAGACCGAAGAAACTTCCAAAGTAGAATGAATTCAGATGTCTGTTTCTTCTTCTCTGCTCAGTAGCTGAGTCAAGTTTCAGATCTTTTCTCCTGAGGTAGTTAGAGACCTTTTGCCCATATTAGAGGTTGTAGATATGGATGCAATTTCAAGCAGAGAAAATGAGATCTTATGACTCAAATAACATTTCCTGTTATTTGAGTAGTAAAACAGAAAAAGCTGTTCTTCACCTTTACAATCCTTTAATATGCAGTCCTCCGTACTAGAAGTTTTGAAAGGTGTTTTCATAAAATTCATTAGTCAATGTGGTCCTCATATATTTCCATAAATCTAGTTGTGTGCAGTATTTTGAAAATACACTTTACTATTTTAATTTAATTCTCACTTAGAGTTCATTCCACAATAGGCTTTATCTTGCTACTCAATCTACCTTGCATGGTATAGCTTCACCATTTTAAGTATCTCAGTTTTAAACATCTTTGCTTTGGGCTTGTTTTGACAGATTTTATATAAATAATAAACCTTGTTCTGTCACGGTATCAAGATTTTAATTCCTCTTTACTTACCGGTACAGTTCTCAATTTTGGATAGGTTAAAATTACTAAAATAAGCCAGTCAGGATATAATACAAATTAATCTTTTTTTCACTTTCCTTTGTACTTTCAGAAGCAGCCTTGAACAACTCTGGCACCTGCAAAAAACACTGAGTGGCAGTCAAGTATACTGACACAGTTTCGTCACACAGTTTCAGTGTGATTTGTGCAAAGTCATGCTGTGGAGGAAAAAATCACCAGACCTGAAAACTGCTTGAATTTATCCTTTTTTTCAAGGTTCAGTGCATTTTCTAACCTCTGTTCTCCTGTTTTCAAAACTGCAGTGAACAAGAAGTGAGCTTGTTTGAGTCTAAAAAGTCAGCGTGCTACTGTCTATGCTCATATTAATTGATTACATAAAAGCCAAAACACATCCAAACAGTACACACCAAGAAAATAACACATTCCAGTAAAAGTTCTAGATGAAACCCAAATTTAGGTGCACCCAAAATTAAGTATTTACTGTACTTCCACATTTACAGCTTCACAGAGAAACAGACTGAGAACTGCTGCAGTACAGGGAGTTGGCCATCATGGAATCAGAAGGGAGATTATTGGGAAAGTTGTGACCCTAGCTACCATCTGAAAGACCCCACAATGCACTCTTGTGGAGTCAGTTATAAGTCTTACTGACGAGAAGAATTTGTGAATCTGTATTCATGAAAACACAGTCCTTTGATTTTCAATGTCTTTTTAAAATATATTTGTAAGTAAGAGGGTCAGACAGATAAGAAGTCTTTTCCTTTTTTTTTTTTAATTCAGGGGGGCTGCCCGCGTTGCACTGCCCGAGACAAGACTTACGCAGGCATGGACCTTCTGCTCTTCCTGTAACACACAAGAGGGAGCGCTTGGTCACCACAACTTTCATAGAACCATAGAGTCATAGAACGGTTTGGCTTGAATGGCAACTTTAAAGGTCATTTAGTCCACCCCCTGGCATTAAGCAGGGACATATTCAACTAAATCAGGTTGCTCGGAGCCCTGTCCAACCTGACCTTGAGTGTTTCCAGAGATGGGGCACCTCCCAGTTCTCTAGGCAACCTATGCCAGTGTTTCACCACCTTCATTGTAAAAATCTTCTTTCTTATTTATAGTCTAAACCTACCCTCTTTCAGTTTAAAATCATTACCCCTTTCCTTCGCTCTTCTCAGTTTTTGGTTAAAGTATGTTCTGTGCGTAGGTTTTTCTTACTTTAAAATGAACTCTTTCAATTCAGTGATAAATGGACATCAGAAAGCTTAAAAAAAGTTTAAAGTAAAATAGTGGCAATCTCAACCTTACATTATGTTGACATAGCTCAGCTGAATGAGCTACAATACCCAAGGCTTCCCCATTGGTTAGGCTTACAGTTCAGCAGGGAAGCCACACTTCAGATTCCAGGACTCTCCAGCAGTGAGGCTTACAAGCACTTCTGAGCGGGGAGCTGCAAAAGCTGCTCCATAGAAAATGAAGAAATGTTACTCCACGGGAAATGTCTGATATTTCTGTATTCTGTGTTCTGACATCCATGGCAAATGTAACCTGCTCTCAGCAATCTCATCTTTGGTTAACATCAACAGCTCCCAATCGTCTCCAGAGCCAGGTGCCTTCATCAGCCCTGTTACACAGCATCCAGAGCTGGGGCGAGACAGTAGGACCATCCCAACGGTTTCAGTTTCATTAGGACTTAGAGCGCTCAGGGTATGTGAAAGACCAGTTCCTGTTTGTTTTCTGTCTAAAAAACAGACTGGACTTCAGTGGACTTTGTGAAGAGGAGAGATCGGGGAGGGGTGAAAAACCCCAGGAAGAAACAGACAATGAAAGGCTGACTGCACTGAAGTAGATAGGAAAATCAAAGGATGTCCTGGCCAGATTTTACATGAAGAATCTGAAGATTCCAGACATCCTTCTGAAAGCACTCCTCCCAGTGGGTCACCTTTTATTTTGGTTTATTTTTTTTTCTGAAGTCATGGCTGAATTTTGATAATCCTGTTACACTTTACCTAATTGAAGAAAGACTTGTTCTTTCATATGTGCACTTTTATTCACTTAGATTTATGGTATTTACAATATGCTATAAAACATCCATGCTGATTTGGGCTGTGATGGAGTTAATTTTCTTCACAGTATCTAGTACGGGGATGGGTTTGGGACTTGTCCTGGAAACTGTGTTGATAATTCAGGAATGTTTTCCTTTCTGCTGAGCAGTACTTATGCAAAGCCAAGGCCTTTTCTGCTCTTCACTCCACCCCAGCAGCAAGTGGATTGGGGGCACACAAGGAGCTGGGAAGGGGACACAGCCAGAACAGCCGACCCCAGCTGACCCAAGGGGTATTCCATACTATATGACGTCATGCTCAGCTTATAAAGCTGGGGGATGAAGAAGGAAGAGAGGAATATTTGGAGAGATAGCATTTGTAGTCCCAAGTCACCCTTATCCATGATGAAGCTTGGCTTTCCTGGAGCTGGCTGAACACCTGCCTGCCCATGGGAAGGAGTGAATTATTTCCTTGTTTTGCTTTGCTTGCATGTGTGGCTTTTGCTTTGCCTATTAGACTGTCTGTACCTCAAGCCACAAGTTTTCTTGCTTTTACCCTTCCAATTCTCTCCCTTATCGCATTTGGTGGGAGGAAACAAGCGGCTGCAGGAGGCTGAGTGGCCACTTGGGGTTAAACCATGACAACACTTACTATCTGTACATTTATACGTAGTTGGTCTAATAAAATACATTGCTCTCTACAGAAGCTGTTTCAAAGCATTTTAAACAATATTCTTGCTTCCTAATAATGGACATGTTTTAAAGGCCAAGAACACAGTCATGAAAAAATAATTCTATGTATTTTATATATTCCTCTTTAATAAAACAGGCAGGGGAGACGAGGAGGAGGTGTCACCTTCTATGTCAATTACCAGCTGGAGTGCATGGAGCTCTACCTGGGGATGAATGAGGAGCTGACTGAGAGCTTGTGGGTCAGGATTAAAGGGAGGGGAGGGACAGGTGACATGAGTCATCTACAGACAGATAGGAATGACCTCATGATCACAAGCCCTGCACCTCATGGGGAACTTCAACCACCCCAATATCTGTTGGAAGGACAACACAGCCAGGAATTAAGCAACCCAGGAGGTTCCTGGAATGCTTTCATGATAATTTTCTTCTCCAAGTGATAGAGAAGCCAGCAAGGAGAGTTGCTGTGCTGGACCTTGTTCTCACCAACAAGGAGGGGCTGGTGGGGGATGTGAAGCTCAAGGACAGCCTTGGCTGCAGTGACCATGGAATTGTGGAATTTGAGATCCTTAGGGCAGCAAGGAGGGAGTACAGCAAGCTCACTGCCCTGGACTTCAGGAGAGCTGGCTTGGCCTCTTCAGAGACCTGCTTGTTAGAGTGGGTTAAAGCCCTGGAAGGAAGAAGGGTCCAGAAAAACTGGCTAATATTCAAGATTCACCTCCTTCAGGCTCAGGAATGATACATTCCAAAGAAGAGGATGTCAGGCAAAAATGTCAGGAGACCTGCATGGATGAACATGGAGCTCCCAGATAAATTCAAACACTAAAAGGAAGCCTACAGAGGATTGGAGCAAGGACAGGTAGCCTGGGAATAATACAGATGAATTGTCCAGGTATCCAGGGATTAGATTAGGAAAGCTAAATCCCTGACAGAATTAAATCTCTCCAGGGACATCAAGGGCAACAAAAAAGCCTCTATAGGTACACTAGTGATAATAGGAAGGCTAGAGAAAATGAGAGCCATCTCCAGAAGGAAACAGTAGACCTAGTTAGCAAGGAGATGGAGAAGGCTACGGTACTCAATGACTTTTTTGCCTCTTTCTTCACCAGTAAGTTCTCCAATCACACCACCCAAATTGTAGAATGTAAAGGCAGGGATTGGGAGAATGAAGAGGCACACTGTAGGAGAAGATCAAGAACATCTAAGGAAACTCAAGGTGCATAAATCTGTGGGACCCAATCAGATGCTTATTTGGGTCCTGAGGGAACTGATGAAGGAAGTAGCTAAGCCACTATCCATCATATTTGAGAAGTCATGGCAGTCCAGTGAAGTTCCCACTGACTGGAAAAGGGGAAATATGACCCCTGTTTTAAAAAAGGAAACTAAGGAAGGGAAGTAAGAAAGGTCCAGGGAACTACAGGCCACTCAGTGCCGGGCAAAACCACGGAGCTGATCCTCCTGGAAACTATACTAAGGCTCACAGAAAATACCGAGGTGATTGGTGACAGGCTTCACTGATGACAAATCACGCCCGACAAATTTGGTGGCCTTCTATGACAGGATTACAGAGACTGTGGACGAAGAAAGAGTGACTGACCTCATCTACCTGGACTTGTGCAAGGCATTTGACACTGTCCCACACAATATCCTTGTCTCTAAACCAGAGACACGGAGTTGAATCTGGACCACTCCATGGATATGGAAAAAACTGGAAGCTCACACTCAGAGAGTTGCAGCAGCTCCATGTCCAAGTGGAGACCATCGATGAGAGGCTTCCTCAGGGAACCCTGGGACTGGTGCTGCTAAATATCTTTGTCAGTGACATGGGCAGTGGGATGGAGTGCACCCTCAGCAAGTTCACTGATGACACAAGGCTGTGAGGTGCCATCAACATGCTGGAGGGAAGGGATGATGCTGGAGGGACCTGGACAGGCCTGAGAGGTGGGTCTGAGTGAACCTCATTAAACAATTTCAGGATAAAAAAAACAAGTAGCAGTGTGGAGAGGGAGAGTCAGAGGCAGATGGATTTCTTGAAGTGATAAAATGATGGAAAAAACAAGTTTAAGGAAGAAAGCCAACATCTTAGGTGGAATTGAAAATAATAACAACAAACCTGCTACCCAGGAGCTTGTAGCTGTTGTAAAATTTCCTTGCCATTCTGTGGAAGAGACATGAATGTGCATTTTGGGACTTACAGTTAGATTAAGAAATATGGAAACTCTTTGTAGTCCTCACTCCTCTCTTTTTAGCTGGAAAAGCTAAAGGATCTGTAAAGTGCATATTGCAGCAAAAGTCACACACAATTTTATACGATTCATCAAAACATTCAACTAAAGCAGCTGTTAGGTGAAGGCTGGCTAGAAATGCTTTGAACTTGGGTGAGAAGTGATGATAACTATTAACTAACAAACAGGAGCGGTTGTCTACCATTGTCACTAATAAAATGAAAGGCAGACACTCTTTCAGCAGTTACACAAAATGCTCCACGAACATTATGCTGATATGAGTGCATCCAAAAAATCTTGGTTCTAAAGCATGTCTCAGTCTGTAGACTCGCACGAAGACATTGCAGATACTGACTTCTGGAAGTGGTAACAAGAGAAGTGGAAAAGGAGCGGGAAAACCCACAAAATTATTTGACCCCTTGCATGTCCACAAGAAGATGAGGAACGCGCTGACTATTTTAGAGCACAGAGTAACCTTGGATTTCGTATGATGAAATTATGATTGTGACAGAAAATAAGCCGTTGAATCATGTGTTCCTTTTTCAGAAAGAAAAATTTAATATTTAAACACCATTTTTTCACCCATTTGTATAGAAAAATAAGTGAAGGATTAATTAATTAAGAGACAAGAGAATACAGTATGCCTCCCTGATTTGTTCCGCAATTAGTCTGCGTAAAGAAATATAAACCTAAGAACAATTTTATCTGCATTTAAATCTAAAGTCTAATGTGATGTAAATCTCAGCGAATGTGCTAGCACAAGGCTGACAATGAAGAATCTCTGCACAGAACACAGTCTTTCAGAAAATGGTTCTCTGTACTACAAATTGGCTCAGACTAGAAAACTCTAAAAAAAAAAATCTTACCACAGACACACAGAGGTTTCTCAGTGCAGATTGCTCAAGAGTTTGGGCTGGAAGCCTGGAGTCAAAACTGAACAAAAGCCTGTCTGCTAAAGAAGAATTCACTTCCAGCAATCCCTGTTCCACGATGGAGAAGCTCTGCCAGCCACATGAGGCACAGCGGGAAGAAGAAAAGAATTCAAAAGGAAACTTGGCTTTGTACGTATTGGAGCCTTAATCATCCTTTTTGAACAGAATTCAGCTGTCAGCCATGTGGAAGACAAACACCTGTGAGGAAGTACAGAAACATCTGATATTAGGGGTGATATTACAACCAGCATCTGCTGCTTGTCTCCCATTCTGTTAGAATAAAACAGTTATGCAAGTCCTGTCATTAAAAACATTCATTAGGATGAATGAGGACATCCACCAGGCAACTGAGGCAAAATTTTTTTTGAAAGAAAGAAGTAACAAGGATGATGTCATGCTTTTATGGATTGACTGTTGTTGTTGCCATTCTTTACTGTATCTTGGACACAGGGAAATAGTAACACTGGTGGACAGTAAAACCTGCTCTCTTTCTTCCTCTTAAGGTTTCTACTCCAGACTCATATTTTCTGTTTCCACTTCCTGTAATTTCTAGGGTTGTCGTCTCATCTGGCCCTTGTAAAGGTATTTTCAAAATATTTGCTTAAATAATCCACCTAACTTGCAGTATTTGTTATTTTTCTCTATAGAGGATTCTGTAAAGCCCATGGGACTTATCACAATCGTGTAAGACAGGTAGCTATCACTAAGTTAATAGTTTTATACCAGTATGGACTATGAAACCAGAGAGAACTCCATGCCTGTGTTTTGAATTATGTATGGAAACCTTTGATGCTGCCTGGTACTTAATCACAGACTTAGAAAGATGATATGTTTGTGCCGGTCTGTAAAATTATATGTATAGCCATGGCTGCCTTCAAAAGATTCTTCTAGTGACTTGATAATTTTACAACATACTTTGTGTCCCAGAAGCTCATAGGTTCTTTCAGTGGAAAGGGTTAATTTGTTTTGTTAGAGAAAGTGGCAAACAGATAATCTAACAAACTTTGTCTGGTGTGATATGGGCATTTTAAAGCAGATAGGGGAGAAATTTAAAGTGGCTGTAGGAGGGAAGCAAGACCAAGAATATAAGGGTTTGCTTCAAATTAAATTAGCTTATGGGTGGAAGAAGAAAGGTTAGGATACTATTGAAGATGAGGCGGTAGCAAAAGTCACTTTGGTAGGGCAGGTATTTATTTATTCTACATTCTTGAATGCTTATAGATCTTTTTGGTGCCAGGGACTGCAGTTCTTAATTTTTCAGCTTTTACAAGTTAGGATATTGTGACACATCTTCAATACAAAAGTAAGATAAACTGAATCTGTCTATGTTGTAACAAGTATGTAATAATTAAATTTGTATACAGAAATAAAAAGAAAGTTCTGGATTAATGTTATAACGTGGTTTAAACTTGCCTACTCACTTACCAAAGTACCAGCAGGATTTTGACAAGGGTTTTTTCTACATTAGATGAAACTGAAAGCTGATGTCAAGAAACATTACAGAGAAAATAAAGAATTTCAAGGAATTCAAGGGATTAATTTAGAATACCATTTCCATTTTTGAAAGTCACATGCAGCTGCATTTTAATTCCAGAGGACTTTAAAAATTGTACCTATATCATACTGCAAAATATTGATGTTGATGTTAAAGAATTTTGTAAAATAAAGCTGTAAGGAGCTTCCAATGAGTTCGTATGCTTTTTTTCCCCCTGGAATTTGGTTGCTTATAGTATATGTTCTCCTCATTTTTCTAGGTTAGAATTTATGTTTCTGGGTTGACATTATTACTAACTGGTGAAGACTTTAAATTGTAGGGCTGTATCTGCAAAAATTATAGTAATCATCATTACTGCAGTCTGCAAGTCTGGACACCAATGCATGTGGTTCTGGTGACAAACAGAATAGGTAGAATCCTTCATTCACAAATGAATTTGCGTTTGTACATTTTTAATATACTAGAGACTGCAAAAAGTGAGAGAAAATGAGAAAACAAGAAGCCTCTGTTTCCTTCCTAGAAGGAAAGCATCTTTCTTGAAGTAGCTTTAGGCTTGGACAAACAATAAAAATAAAACTGAGACTGTGAGTAATACTTTTTATAACAATAAGTTTACAAATTAGAGAGGGAACATTTATGAAATTACTCATTTCCCCCCCCTTTTCCTTTTCAAAGGTATTGCTATGTCTCTGTAGATTGTCGCTAGTTGTTGATCATTCTTAATTTAGTGTGTATGTCAAAGGATGGATTTGCACTTCTTCCTTATGCTCATCTATTCAGGATGTTTGTCATAACTTAAGGGGATGAGTAATCCAGGATGATAGTCCTCAACAAGCCTTTTTTATTTTATCAGTGTTACACAGAGAACAGAGGAAAATCCTTAATCCTGAAATCATCTGGCTGAGAAAATACAGGAATACAAGTAGACAAAATGAACTTTTCTTTTTCTTTAGAAATAGCTAATTCTTTCACTGTAAGGTCAGTTCCTCCCAGTCCAAAAGGATCATGCACTCGAGTGTGGAGATAGCTAAAGTTTACTGCGGATTGATACATGATACCTGTAATGCAGCAACCTGAACATCTGTGCACCTGCACAAGTCACCCAACTGAGGGCCTCGCATTCTGTCCTCTCTTACTTTTACAATAGGGCACAAATGTTACAAGTCAGCACATTTCTTGGAGGGCAAAAAGGTGAACCAGATAAGTAGGTAGCATGTCACTGGGACAAGAACGTGATATATTCAGGTGGAAGATAGTGGCCTCTCAAAAGTGAAGGTGTCTCTATCGCGTTTTCATATCAGGTTTTAAGTTACACATTTATACAACTAGTCATTTGCCACACTGATTAAAATAGGAAGCATATGCAGTTATGTAATGGGATATTTGTGGTTGCAATTGCTGGGTCATTTGCATCTGTGCCAAACTGAGAAGGTTTATGCTTGCTTTGCAAAATGGAAATACTAATGAAAATCTGGGAGATGGATGTAATCATACATTGTGACTTTGGGCAAAGGAGGATCCTGCATTGCTCATTTCTAATAAAACTAAGTGGCCTGGAGCAGTGATTTTATGGTGCGCTTAAATAAGATGTCTTTTAATTTGTTCTATAGTATACCAAAAAGTCCAAAACAGTGATTCAGCAAGCTGTAGGTAAAATCCAGGCTGCAAATGAAATCAGTTCATTGGGGTTACAAAGCAGGAGTTAACAGCATTGCAGGGATAGATTGGAGAACAACACAGACTCAGGCTTGCTAAGAGCCTTAGCTCAAACTTTGTTTTATCTATTTGTCAAATGAAGGGTCACCTGTATTATAACTTCACCTCTACCAACCAATTAAAGTCAAAGAAAAGGGTTTTGTAGCCTGTTAGATTACATTGTTTACCTTCTACTTAAGAAAATACACAGGTAATACACAGGTAAAATTAAAGAGAGTTTTTCCTTCCTTCTCTTCTTCTCAATCCTGAAAGTGAAGAACACTAGATCTTTGTGTCCTAGAGCAGCAAGCTTGAGGGAAGCTGCAAAGTTTGTTTGTAAATTAGCTAAAATTCTGCATTATTTCACTTCAGAAATTAAGAACTTCTTTACTTTGTGAGTCCTGAGAATGAAAAACAAAAGAAGTAGTGAGTTCACAATAGGAAAGAACAAAAATTGATTTTGGAAGAGCAAAATAAGCTTTGGTCGGTTATTTAAAATGTTGGAGGTGAGGGGCGTGGAGTTGTTTGTTTGTTCGAATAATTATTATTTGTCTTCAATGACAATCATCATAAGAAAAATCTCAGAGGGGACACAAACACTTGTCTTTATTGTGTCTCTGCATAGGAAGTCACAGTGGTATCCCTTTACTTCTGAGTAGTTGCTGAGCAAGCTCCCACACTCGGTGTTTATATGTTACAGTTTCAGAGTGTAATAACAAGCATCCTTCCATTCTCATTTAAAACCTCTCTAATTAACTTTCTGACCCCTTCTGCAGCCATATGGATCCAATGTCATCCAGCAGTTATTGCCTTATGGTGCTCCAGATGCACCTAATGTGTCCACACAGAAACAACCTTCCAAACTGCTGGTGATCTGGACAACAGCCATTTTCCCCAGCTAAAGCTCTGTTTTGTTTCGTCTGTGTCCAGTGAAATGCTGGGCTCTTATGCACAAAGCATGCATTTATGCTGATTAAGCACCTTTTTTTTGTGAGCAGGTTATGCACAATCAAGCGCATTTGACTCAAATACAGAGGCATAAATTGGTTTACTCAGTTAAAAGCTTTGATCTGGCAGCTAGAGATAATAGGTGGAGCTTAAGGAATCCACAGTGCTTATGAATACTGATTTACTTTCGGCCTGTAAAGCAGCATGCTGAGAGTAGGCAGAAATTTCTTCACTGGCACTAACAAAGCGTTGAGCTCGTGAGAGTAAGAGATGCACTATTTTTCCTAGTAACTTTGCTTCTATGTATGGCCTTCCCTTGCTAGTCTAACACAAATAGGCTCCTGAATTATCCATATGCTACATGTTACTGCAGAATAGGAAGTATAAATGGCTGCCTTAAGACAAAACGCTAGTTACAAGCTGCAGGAGCTTCACAGATTTAGTGGGATATACTCAGAAAAGGAACCTTGCCTTTGTTTAAAGGGCATAAAATTTACTTTCAGATTTTCTTCATTTCAATGTGTGGATAAAGCCAAAAGAAGTAGCAATTGAAAAGATTGTGTATATATTTTAAATATTCCTTTAGGATGTGCCTGCCATCTTAAGAATTGGAAATAGTAAAAATACTGTGTTCTGTCCAAAGATTTGCTGCAGAAGTAATGATTTCTTTTACAGACCATTAACTTGAAACCAGTGCAATGATTTAGCTATAATCCTCAAAATTACTGATCAACCATTTTCACCTAGTCAGCTTTTTGCTGTAACATGAAATGAGGAAACAGTTTCTTGGATGAGATAAACAAGCAATTTGTTATCATTGTAAAATTGAAGTGTGCAACATAAGCAAAACAGTTTTTTGCATTCTGTTTTTAGCAGTTACCACCTGTCTTATTGTTTAACTTCATCTGACCATTTCTGTATTCCTGCTTTTTGTTACTGTAAAAACCCAAAACAAATATCCTGCCAGCCCTAATTTTTTTCTAAACATTTGCCATATTTCTTACAAGAAATTTAAGTGTAGAGATTGGTTTACTGAGGTGTTTTGGCTAACAAAGGTCAAGAGGATTGGGTTATAAATACGTGAATCATTAATTGTAGTGTGTGTTCCTTCTACTGTGTTGCTGAGAATTGCACAGGGGAACAGAGGTTAAATACTTCTCCATAGGCTGCAGTGGGTATCCCCCCATGCTGTAGTTAACTCTGCCTGGTGCAAGAAGACATCTGCTCAGTTGTACTGGTTGCTTCTGCCAGCCACTTGAACATCCATCAAAAAATAATGTTACATCAAGTTTTCTGTGATTGGAGTCCTTGCTTTTCCCAGAGAAAGAGCCTTGGAATAAAGTGTCATAATATCACATATTGTAAGGGTGACAATCTGCTGTTTTGTCAGGTGCTTTGGTACACATATGTGTTCATAAAAGAAAGGGACTTCAGGCAGATTTGG